GCACTGCCCTGTCCCACTGATTTGGCACTATAATTTTGCTGCCTCTTCCCTAGCGTGACATACATTTCATTACAGATTCCGTTAAAGTGCACAGGTCTTCCCTGCAAACGTTTCGCTTACCCCCCTCATGCAAGGGTAATGGAACGCTTGAATTAAGAATGCAATCAAATGAAACTTAATGCATTCTGTCAGCAGCAGGAGCAACAAACCTATCAGCCATGCACTGCTGCAGAAACCGCTAGAAATTGCTAGAAACCGGTGAAAAAAGAAAAGTTAGCTAAAATTAGACACCAATTAAATCAATTAATTAGACACCATCTAGCAACCAATCGTTGGGTTTCTGCGGATGGTACTGACAGGAAAAACGATGGTACAAGCTCCTTAAGTTTACCAAAAATGAGAACCATTTACCTGCTGACAAATATAACCCAAAGTCACAGCCAGTTTTCTTACCGACCTTTGATCTCCAAAGGCAGATGAGCCATCGAAACACTCAGTTTAAGTTGTCGTTTCGTCGTATACGCTCTCTGTTACAAGGACCACTCACATCTGCATAGAGGGCTTAAAGAGCTTTAGCATGGACAGGAACATGTTTAGAGTCACTCAGTCGGCCGTCTACTTTACTAATCGTCTTCACCTTTCGCTCTCAAGTAGTGATTCCTTCCTCCACCAAGGCTGAGCCAGAAAGCGAGGGGAAGAACACTATCGCAGTCCACCGCAAAAGGTGCCGTTTGTTTGGCTTTGTTTCCCCAACTACACTAATCCACGCTTGGCACGAAATTGCGAGATTGTTCGCGCTGCAAACGCCGATGTAAAAATGAACACACTACCGTCGCCAGAATGATGCAGCTAGACGGTTTTGTTGGGCCAAGTAGTGTGCTATTCGTGTTCAGGAGGTCAAACTCCACCTGGGGACAATTCCCAGCCAAATCTGCCCTCAGAAAAAGGTCGGTACAAAAACTGGCTCGATTTCGAAGGACTGGGGCAGTGAAGAGTATGTGATGCCATATTACATAAATGCTTTTGAAAAAGGTTCTCATGTGTTAAGTATGAATGCAAATGAATACACAAACATCAAGTTTTAACTCGTGAGTACAATTTCTTTCATAATTTTCTTCAAAATGACTTTCTGGCTTTCCCATATAATGTACATTCCAAAGCTTGGAGATGGGGGGGGGGCGTGTCTAAGAATTCAGGCACTGCCGCACTCACAACTAAGTTCAGTTAAGTTAGGCACTTCTTCCCATCTGCGGCATGTGGACGATATGTCGCAGGGTGCTGCTCGGCTTACACGTTTAGGAACTGACACACCCATTTCTTACGCTTCCTCTCCTTGATAAGACCTGTGAACTCTTATAAAGCTGAAGCTAAAATGGAATAATTCTACTCAAGCCGCTTTAACTGGACTTATGGTCTTTCCAAGGTAGCCTGCGCAAGCATCGCTGAGTACCATTGAAAAGTGCCCCTCCGCTTGGGCCGAACAGCGCCTGTCTTAGCTGTCTTGCCCCCTTATCAGCATAATTGTCTGTAAAAAGCCCAGGAATGAATTACGGCTGAAAGGTTCTGCCCTTAACTCAGCAGTCTCGAGATAGTAACAGAAAGCGTCGTCCTGGAAGAGCATTGTAGAGGCCCCGTGCGTAAACGTCATAATGCAAGTGGATGTCCAGAAAAAAACATTTTACAGTTTTTCATGTGCCGAGCAGAAGTTGCTGGGGGGGGAGGAGGGGGGAAGTGTGGTATGCGCAACTTCTGCAGTGGTGATCGGGAGAGTTCCTTACTTCCGTTCAGGTTTTCGGCCATCCCGATTTTCTCCATAAAAGCTAGGGGAAAAGGCGCCTGACGGCCCAAAGAGCATTTCAGAACCTAGCTGGCTCAAAAGGCAGCAAAATTAGCACCTATGCACAAGTTTTATTGAGAGTAGAAGTGAATACTGTCAGGGAGAGGAGGTTTTGAAGGAAATCGTCATATCAGCTGGGGCTTAGGGGCACTAATAGGTGACGGAGCGTTTTCTAACAAAATTGAATTGAGTTTGCGCAGAGGATGGGATGCTTTCTCAAAAGACTCTTCACTGTTCGGTAGCCAACATCATGCTCTTACAGATAAATTTATATTCTCATACTTTTGCGATCACTTAATTTTTTTTTAGAATCCAAAACATCAAAGCTATCGCACAAAAGCGCTCATATTTGACACCAGCTTTTTTCCCTTGACCAAAATATTAGAGGCAAAAAACCATTTTTCTTCCTCGACTTTCGAGGCGATATAAAAGTTGTATTTTAATAAATTCTAATTGGGCATTTCCACCATCATTCAACAACACGTTGTACACTATCACGATCCTCCGCCACAGCCTTCTAGACGAGCGCCCTCGACAGTTTCTGCTACGCGAAGGTGAGTCGGTGCCTAACCCGATGATTGAGGGGCTTAAGGCCAGATGACACTTGGATATTCCGTCTTCTTCAGGGTTCTCGACGCCTTCATTCCAAGTAGACCGGGTTTTTCCAGCGCCCTCCCATTTCCATGTGGTGGCACCCAATCCTGTAGTACAAAGTTTCCAAGAAGGTACGGGCGACGACATGTGGGGAGGATATTCTTCTCGAGTTGCTCGATGTAACCGCTGCCATCGGTCCACCTTCAGGTCGGGGTCAGACGAAGAAAATAGCGGTCTTTCCATTCCAGGTACGTCCGGTCCATACCATCAACCCGCGCCTTGGCGACTGTGGTGAAGATGATGTCCTAGACCGTGGCGACGTTGTCGAGCTGCTCGATGTTGGAGGTCTCCAGATCGGTCTTCCAGATCAAGAGTGCCGGTCTCCAGGTAGCTGTCCATGGGTGACTCCATACAAGAAGTTTCGCAGCTGTTTGGAGGTGACGTGAATTCCAAAGGCCTTCTCCAGTCAGGCTGCGATTGGAGATGACTTCATATTTTGGTGTACATGAAGGTGATGGGCGAGAGCCAGCTCCTGCTTATAGAGGAACATCTTGGGTATCTTCCGCCCTGGTACTCGTATCCACGTCTCTGTCTGGAAAACTTTGCTGATATGTGACTCGGCCAAAGTGTCTTGTTTTCTGCCCCCTCCCCTGTACAGCAGCTGAAGCAGCACAACATTTGTGAAGTGCATGGACAAGAGCACTCTCTTGAAACGGCTGAATATCGCTTCAAGCGATCCAGAACCGGGACCTGCATGCATCAGGTTTTCAAGCCTCTCGCATTACGACAAAGTGACGCTCAGTGAGAGAGTGGGCTTCGGAGCGAACTCAATAATGCATGCGGATCAATACTTGTTTGTGAGGTCGAAATTGGAAACTAAGAATCACTTGAAGCACCTTTGTTCCTTTCTAAAAGGTGTTTTAGAGGTGTTGCTTCACGGTCATAGACTCAAGAAAAGCCTCTGCGACTTTACTTTTTTATCCAGTGCAAAAAGTGGGTGTCAAAAATGCTCCTTTTTCGTCTCGGCCCTGCATTTAAGTCACCCAAAAATTAATGGAAACTTTATTGCAAGGGAAAATAACCATACTGCTCCACAGAGCGAAAAGTTCCCTATCAAGCAATGTAGAAATTAGTAGCGAAACGTACAGTTCCAAGAGCAAAGTTTTAGGTTAAAAAGAACGCTGTTAGCCCGGGCTAGCCCTATAGTCGTGTACTGGAATAATGGTCCCATTGAAGCTGATGAAAACAAAGATCAATGAAGCAGAGAATTCATAAAGTCACTGAGTCACGCTCTTTTAAACGGCAGACGTTTTGAAGACCAAGTGGGCGAATGATGAGGTCTCGGGTTTAGGAATGTAAAGAGAAAACGAGAATGACTGAAAGAACCCTAGTTGGAACTCTTGGCTTACGAACTGGATACTGTTAAAGACAGTTCCTGCGACCAAGTGGTCCGCGAAATGCATCCGTGCATTTGGCATCGTTGTCCGCATTCGCACCACGTCACTAAAACAGCGAGATAAAGAAGCTAGAGACGCGTGATTATTGCAACCATTGCAACCACGATTACTTTCACTCTGCAGACAACGGCTTACAAGCGGAATAGCGTTGCCTGGAGCGTCGTAGGGCGATTTCCTATGCTCTTGCCAGGAATTGGTTGCACGTCGAATCCTGCTGATTGGGCTTGTCTGACGTCCGATAACTCGTCCAAGGCGCCGGCCCCACTGCTATTGCAGGGTCTCTGTTTAGAGTGTTCCCAAAATTTTTTCACTTCTCTCTCCAGTGGGGAGTTACTCATGGGCTACTGGTTCATGATTGAGCACCTACTACCCGTAACACTTGATCGCGGGAAATGTCTCCAAGTCACACACACCTCAAGTAAGCCGAAAATTAACTGAGCTGACCCGTCCCTAGAAAGGCTTCGACCAACAATGGAACAGCGGCACACATATTCGGAATGGATGGCTCAAAGCTTACTTGCGCCAATGAAAGGTCTGCAAAAACAAGTAGGCTCAAGATAATCAGGATAATAATAGATATTATCCCTTTTACTGATCACTCGATCACTCCTGCTACAACAGTTCGCCCCCCCCCCCTCGTGAGAAAACACAGCATTTCGGAGGTAGTTTAGAGAAATGGAGGGCACATGTTGCTTAAGAATTGGAAAGTTCCGAGGCGAGAGAAGCGGAATGAATGGTGGAAAGCTCTTTTGCATATTGAAGTTTTTTTCCAAAGCTGCGTCTTCCATTGAATAATCCGCCGCTGGCGGCCCAATGACGGGCAAACCGGCTTTCTTCTACACCAAAGAATATCACTTTATTATTAAAATGAATAGAACCTATAATTATGGAATGATTCAATATCTATATTATGTACAGACCGTAGAGAACAGAACAAAAACAGCGAAATCATCGGTCGTAATCGAATGAGCTTTACATTGTGATAAAAGCTGATTAGAACCAGTGAAGACAGATATGTTAATGAAAGATGGAGGAGAAATCGAGCATAACCGTATTGCCAGAAGGACGAGCCTGAGAGCAAAAGACGTGGTGACAATCGCTGATCGACGCACTCACGTCAATGTGGTATGGATGAGCATTTGAAGCTGCAAATGTAGCGCTTCGAATGAGGGCCGTGCCTGTGGATCGTACAACCAGCACGGGACCACAACATTCAAGAACACTTTCTCTGGGCACAATGCCGGCCGTTCCAGTTGATGCTGAAAAAAAGGGCTCGATTGATTCAGAAGATTCGGAAGTAGCTTGATCGAAGAGGATTCACCTTCAGTGTAGAGGTATTACTCATGTGCTGAATATTCTCCAGAACTTGGTTGTCTGTTAACAAACCAAACGGCTTCTCACGACATCGACTGAAAATCTCCCACAGCGTCACGCCGAACGCCCACACATCGCTGTGTGTCGAGAATTTGCCCTGAAATATCCAAATCAACCCTGATCACGGGGCGCCATTAAATGGGAATTCACTATACGGAATGAGTTCTCTCTAATAATTTTTTTTCTAATAGAAGCAACCATAAAGAGAAAAGTTCCCTCATTCATGCATAAGTGGCATCTAGCTCGAAAAACGTATCCGAAAATACGAAACGGAATAGACTGTGCACTTCTATGAAATCCAGAGAAGGACTCCCTCCAACAAGAACGCTGTTTGGTCGATGAGGGTCCATTTTGCGCTACCACTATTCAACTCTTTAGACAGCGTCAAACCTCGCCGACGCAGAGCTCCGGTCCAGCGTCTAACGCTAATCCGATAACTCAATGTCTTCCAACTGCATCGTCGGATCGAAAGCGTGACAAAGCGCTGGCTGTCGCGAAAGTCCTAACGCTGTCTACGAACAGTCCACTTTTAATGAAATCCTATCACTAGAAGCCTGGTAAAATGCAAGGGAGTGATGAAGATGCGAAATGGCAAGAGAGCCATTTTAGTTATGAAACTTCAGAAGCCATTTTAGTTTCGAGAGTTCCGAGGTCTTCACGGCTTGGCCTGTACAAGCTTTGGTGAGTATCATTTGGTGTTCCAACGAGCCGAACTGCGCCCCCACACGTGGTGATAACTCTAATCATAAGGGTGACAGCTGTCCCCCACCCCATCAGTGGAACGCGTCCATCTTTAGATTGAGCTGATTAGGTCTTGCGCAGAAATGGAAACAAGGTTCCATATCTGCGTAGGAAGATATGGGAATGGTGGAAAGAGCTCGACGAAGGCATATCTTCGTCTAAAAACGGCGACAGTGTCCTCGTCACACACTGTGGAGCCGCAAATGTAGGACAACCTCCGAGATTGCGGGGAACGGGGAACTATTTGCACAAGGAAGCGACTTGATTTATCAGGCAATCTGGGATTGTGCTTTCAAAAGGTTGCTTCGATTCTCACTTTAAATAGGTAGTTCAGAGCGGACGAAGGGGCGTGTCAGGCAGTATGAGTGTGCCGCGGTAAAACCCGTTCTCTGCCAGTTGTTGAAGCAGTTACGCGACAACAGTTGTTGGGAAACGAGTGATACGAACGACATGATACAGCCTTGTCACTTGCCTTAACAGCTAAAGGAGAAGGGGTCTGGCACCACACCAAACTCACCCCTCCTGACACGCCCCACCGTCCGCAGCGAACTACACCATATCGATTCAGCC